CCCCAAAACCCCAAAACCCCTTCATCTACATATTAGTTAATGAAGGTAAATAAATGAAATTAAATATAGTCAAATTAAATCATCATATAGTTGATCGAACGATGTATCACCTTTTCTCAATTTACTTAAAAAAGAGGATTCCAGTTCTGGCTCATCATTAAAGGTTTATTTTTATGGTAATGGTTATTGAGCAGTAGGTTAAGGTTGACTCTAATTTTTATCTATAAGGTTCAGAAGCTTATGATGCTCATTTAGGTTCTTTTAATTACTAAAGAATTGAGCATCATTTTCCTATAATTCTTCATCCTCAGTGTAAAACTAATTACTATAGTTTTAAATTGAGTGCTTGCTCTCATTTTGAATAATTTTATGATTTTACTGCACTTAATTATAGTTGAACTATTGCTAATTAATATCTATGCTTACTTTATCTACAGTATTCTAAAATCCTCTAATTGTAAACTAATTCTATTATGAATTCATTAGATCATCTACTATTAACTATGAAGGACTTGATATCATTTACTCTCTATACTAAGCTTCATTTTGCTGGATCAAATTTTTTTAATTAATTGGCTAAAGTTTTTACTAGTTTTAAGGCAAGTATTCCATTAAGTTATTTGATATTTAGATCTATCCTGTTTTCTTCTGATTCATAGAAGGTGGACTTTATGGACCATCTAGATATAGCTATGAGTCAATATCACTACAACTGTTCGTTCTTTAATATGAGACATTCATAGGCGTTTTAGAATTTTAAGAAGGTGTTTACTTATACGAGGAAAAATTTTAAGAGTTAATATTTTCATGAATCAAGTGTTTTGAGTGAATTCTTTGAGTATTCAAGTTTGAACTTGGCTTCTACTAATAGAATTGAACTTGCTATTTCATATTTTAGAGTTACATGCTAAGTTCTTCAATCTGGATGTTCTGATCCTGAATTGTGCTATCTTTGGTTTGCACCTCTTCCTTCAAATGAGTAACTTAGATATTCAATACTTCTACTTAGGTCTTTAATTATGCTATCTCTGATAAATATTTAGAGATCTTTTAATACTCTAATTACTTTAGTTCTTATTGCCTTTACTAAGATTGTAGAAGATCGTCAATATCATCATCAAATTAGTCACTACTATTCTAGAAAGTATTTTAGAGCTAATTTGTCATTGTTCTCATTTAGATTTATTGGCTCTGATTGTGTGGAGCGAAGCTTTCACTATTATTACTCCTTTAACTGCTATTTTACCTTAGATTGCTATCATTTTATTATGATTAGTAATTGTGAATTTTAGAATTGCTATTTACTCTGCTGATTTACTGCTATCTTGGATTTGGCGGAAGATTAGGTTGAGTCTAAGTGTTCATTCTAGGTAGCTCATTATTTAGAGGTTTACCCCTTTAAGTCTTAATGGTGTTCGAGGGACCTTATGAACTCTGTCTAGAAATGACTGAGCTATTATGATTGAATTATTATTATGAGTGAGTTCTGTACATTTATTGTGTATTCTATCTTGGCATGTCCAAAGAAATATTACTTGAGCTGTTTGATCCAGTTGTAGTCTGAAAATGTTGATTATTTCTGTTGTTTGAAGTTACTTATGATTCGTCAGACTGCAATCTTTATTTTATATTATTTTGATCAGTTTCTAGCTTTAATTCTTTAATTCTATTTGACAATCCTGATTGCTAAAATTTTCAGATAATTAATAATTATAAATTTACCACTTAAGTCTTAGAAAGTAGAGGCAATCCCCCATCAGGTGGTTAGGACTAGAAAGGCTTTTCAAGCTTTTAACCCAATATTTAGTCAAGTAGCATCATAGTATATAAATTTCTATTTTTCTTCCAGACGATGTTATTGGTGACTTGACATAATGCCTTTGACTAAAATATAATTATTAGTTGAGATGATATTTACCCATTACTCCACTCTGATACGATCATGCTTTGACATTAGCCGATATCTATTTTCTATCTCAAGCATGTAAAGTACGAATTGCTCATCAAGTTTGCGAGCTTGCTCTGAATTTTGATATGCTGAGGAGACTGAACTATTATGATGCTAAGACATTTCTAAATTAAATTTGAAATTTAAATTATCTCAATCATATCATCAGATTTTGCATAATGGGGTTTTGGGGTTTTGGGGTTTTGGGG